ATTAAAAAAATTGTAACGATCCACTTGTTTCTGAGAATGTGGAATTGTGTTCGCTTGTTACGGAATTATCAGCTGAGGGGGACTGAAACCTCGGCTGCGCCTCGTACATTGATTTTTCAAAAACCACTAAAAAAAAAAGAGTTGTGACAGTTTTACAAAATTTCCGTAAATAATGGAGGTATGGATTTTTAAAAATACGTCACGCAATCAAAAAGAAAAAGACTACTCTACAATTACTCCATTTACGCCATCATCGCCCCATCAAATTCCTCCGCTTCTCGGTAACCCACACCTCTCCGTTTTTGTGGCTCCGTAATAACTTCCACCGAACCCGAAGCCATGCTTAGTAATTCCTTCTTCAAACAATGATCAAGCATAAAGATTAGAATATTGGTTTTCAACAAGAACACCAATTTACCAAAGCGCTTTTTAATTTTCCTAAATCAATAATAACCCCGTAAAAAAAGCGACCGCAGCAAAAGTGCCGAATCACCGGCCCAAACTAGAGCGCCGGAACTGGCAAATTACTTGTTTTTAGCAAATCTGCCGCAAAACCGAACACAGTCATTTAGCTAATTATGGTTTTTTCGAGATTGATTTCGGGAACGTGTCGGCTACGACTCCGCTTTCCTCTTCGTCTTCGTTGTTCCTCCTCCACTCCCACGGAGAAGTTATTATAAGGAGATTAGCGTGGAAAGTGACAGTCATATCGTAATAGGGTGGGCGTAACGTGCTTGTATTTAATCAAGTTTGCCGCGAAGGGCTGGGGCTGGCAGCCCTCTGGAACCCTAATTGCCCGCTTCACACGACCGAAGAGATTAACGCCGCTGGAGGCGGTGCACGCCGCCGCCAATACAAAAACCACACTCACATTTTTTAATAACATGAACATCAAAAAATCCAAAAATTTTAAAAATCGAAAAACTGAAAAAGTAGAATCTAAGGGACTTCTAGAAAACTTAGAATCTCAAAAATCACAGGATGTCTGGAAGTTTTTGACCATCTTTATGATCTAAGTAACTTCTGGGATATATGGAATTCCTGGAATTTTGTGTATCTTTAGAATTTTTGACTTTTAGGAACTTCGGAATTTATGGAATCGTTGAGAAAATATTTAGAACTTTTGAAGTTTTTAATGTCAAACAAGTATAGAAAAATCTTCATAATTCGGAATATTCAAGCTCTTAAAGATCTTTAGAATCTACAAACTTTTCAGGATCTTCTATTGTCTAGATCATGTAGAAAATTGTAAACTTGGGTGTACAAATTTTTAGAGTTAGGAAAAATCTTCAACAGTTTTCAAAATTTTCAAAATATTCGAGATCTTCAGGGGTCTATAACCTCTGGAATTTTATGATTGCTATTTCTGCAATATTTATATCTCTGTACGCTTAATGTTGGTAACTTCAAACGTTTGTCGAAAATCTAGCATCTCAAGTATAACAAAAATCTTCAAGATCGTCAAAATTTTTTTAGAATGTCTATAACGTGTAGAATTTTTGGAATTCTTAGAAGCTTGTCCAATATTTCTTTGGTCTTTATCTACTACTAGCAATCGCTGAAATAATTGGTCGTTTTTAGAATTTCTGTACTGTTTATGATCTCTGGAAGCTCTACAACACTTTGAATGTGAGAATGTCTAAAACATGGAAGATATTCTAGAATTTCAGAGATTTATGTCTATATTATCTACCTTAACCACGTGCAGGTTTCAAGAATCTCTCAAATAATTCTATAAACTTTTAGAGTTCAACTATAGAGATTCCTGGAAATTTCGGAAGAACTTTCTAAATTTTAGAACCTGTTTAAGAATGTATAGAACATCTAGGATGCTCTCCAGGCTCTCTGACAAATGTATATTTGGAATTTCAATGGCCTCTATAATTTCGGAGATTTCTAGAAAATTTTGAGTGTTAAAAATCACAAAAATATCTACTTTAACAATCTTTATGTTCTAGAAACCTCTAAAATCACAGACATTTCTAGAAAATATAAGAATTCCAGGATTACAAGGATTTCCGGAAACTTTGAACGTTTAAAATGATCTCTAAGCACTCTTAAAAATGAATGGATGAAATGTCTAAAATCTTTGGAATTTCTGAAATCTTGTTCTAAATTCGTCGATGTTCTGGATATTTAGAACTCATAGCAAAGTCTAAAATAATTAGAATTTTAAATTTTCTAAGATAGTTGGTATCCCAGGAAACTCAATAAAGTGCGAAATTTCGTACCTTGGGAATTTTCAGAATTTCTATATTTTTTATGATCTCTAGGGTTTAGAATGCTACGGATTTCAAAATGCCCAAAATCTGAAGGACTTTAGAATTTTTGTAGTCACAGAATTTCTAAAATTTCTGAGATTCCCAGAAAACTTTGGATCTCAAAGATCACAAGGACATCTGGTCTTTAGAATTTCAGAGTACCATTTCTAATGTCTAAAACAGCTGATTTCTACGGAAAATCCGAAATCCCTGAAATTTGTTGTATCTTGATTTCTGGAATCTTTGAACTTGAATGTTCTTCTTCTCGTCTTCGTCATCTCTTCAAGATCTTCAAAATCTCAAGAGTCTTAGAATGTCTAGAACATCTAGAACGATCTCTAATGACGCTAACAAATCCGTGTAATTTTTAGAATCTTTAGAATTTTTGAAAACTGGTCTATGATTTCTATGACCTGAATCTGTGGGACCTTAGTAAATAATTAGGACCAAAATAGTTCCTACCTTGGCAATTTCTAGAATTTCTGTACTGTTTGTGATCTCTAGGAGCTTTAAAATATTTCGAATTTGAAAATTTTCAAAACACAAAAGATGTTTAGAAATTTGGAATCTCAAAAATCACTACGATTCTGGAATACTTCTGTATGTGAAAAAGTTTTCAGAATATCTACATTAACAACCTGTAGGTTTCAATAATCTCTAGAATCTCGGAGATTTCTATAAACCTTTAGAATTCAAAGAATACAAAGATTTCAGGAATCTTTGAAACTCTGGGAGCATCTTCTAAATAAATTTCATAATCTTTTCCAGGTTCTTGAAAATTTTCAGACTCTTAGAATGTATAGAATGTCTAGGATGATCTCTAGGCACTCTTACAAATGCCTGTAATTTTTAAAATCTTCGGAATTTTTTGGAACCTTATTCAAGGTTTTTATATTCTGGATCTATAGAATTGGAGCTGTGGTTAGAACCGAAATTTCTATAGCTGATATCTCTGGAAATTCAGAAATGCCTGAAATTTTTTGTACCTTGGAAAGTTTTAGAATATCTACGTTATTTATGATCTGTAGCAGCTCTAGAATATACTTCGAATTTGAGAATGTTCAAAATCTGAGGTATATTTTGAATCTTAAAAATCACAAGAATTCTGGAATTTTTCAGTATGTGAAAAAGTCTTCAGAATTTCTACTTTAACACTCTTTATGTTCTAAAAATCTCTACAATCTCAGACATTTGTAGAAAATCTAAAATCTTTGGAATTTGTGAAATCTTGTTCTAGATTTCTATGATCTGGATTAGACTAGATTTTTAAAAATTTTAGAGTCCTAAAATATCTAGAACTTCTAGAAACTTTATAATTCCTCAGAAATGCCTAGAATTTTTTGAAGGTTTAAAATTTTTGTAAGCTTGTCGAAGATTTGTAAGTTGAGGATCTTTCGAACTCGTAGTAAGGGCTGAAATAATTAGAACTTTAAAAAACTGCGAAATTTTCCTCTAGGAATTTAGAATGCTTCGGATTTCAGAATGTACAAAATCTGAAGGATATTTAGGATTTTTGCGGTAACGGAATTTCTAGAATTTCTAGAAAATTTCTATGGAATTTCCGAAATGTCTGAAATTTGTTGTATCTTGATTTCTAGAATTTTCTTCTGCTCATCTTCATCATTTCTTCAAGATCTTCAAAATTTTCAGAATCTTAGAATGTCTAGAGCATCTAGAATGATCTCGAGAACGTTAACAATGCGTGGAATTTTTAGAATCGTTAGAATTTTTGGAAGTTGGTCCATGATTTCTATAACCTGAATCTGTGGGACCTTAGGAAATAATTAGAACTAAAATCTTTCCTACCTTCGCAATTTCGAGAATTTCTGTACTTGAATTTGAAAATTTCCAAAACACAAAAGATATTTAATGTCTGTGATTATAGAATCTCTAAAATTTCAGACATTTTTACAAAATTTTAAATGTTAAAAATCACAGGTATTGTGGAATCTTTCTGGATATGAAAAAATCTTCAAAATATCTACCTTAACAGTCTTTATATGTCGAGACCCTCTAAAACCTTAGAAATTTCGAGAAACTATCACAATTCAAGGATTACAGGAATTTATGTAATCTTTGAATCTGTGGCAGCATATCCTAAATTTTAGAACCTTTTTCTCATCTTCGTTAGTTCTTCAAGATCATCAGAATCTTCAAAATTTTCAAAATTTTCATAGTCTTAGAATGTCCGGAGTGATATCTAAATACAAATATCTGGAATTTTTGGACGCCTGTGCATGATTTCTATTATCTGGATCTATGGGATCTTTGTAGTAATCTCTTAAATATTTAGAAGGATATTTAGGATTCCTACATTTCCAAAAATCACGGTCTAAGAATGTCTAGAATCGTCGGAATTTTTTGAAGTTCGTCCAACATTTGTATGATCTGGATTCATCAGACCTTAGAACTTGTCGAAATCTTTTTGAAATTTCTAAGATAACTGCTATCTGTGAAAATTTTGCGAAATTTTTTGTATTTGTGATCTCTAGGACTTCTAAAGTACTTCGGATTTGGGAATTTCCAGATTTTAAAGGAAATTTAGGATATTAGAATTTCTATGGTCGCAGTTTCTATAAAATTTCAGACATTTCTATCAAATTTATTTGGAAAAAGTCTTCAAAATTTCAGTCTTCCAAACATTCAAAGTTTTAGGAATGTAACGAAATCTTAAAACTTTTAAAATTCGTAAAATAAAAACTCAAAATACTTGCAATTGAGAATTTTTTGTTGTTGCAGGACGAAATGGAAGCGCCAGACCGCCGTCGGCCTCGAATTACTCGCAGAGGCGGGTAACTACGCCGCCTTCCAGCGCCTGTACGGCGCGCCCCCGTACGGCTGCTGGTACCCCCCACAGAGCGCCGGTCCCACGGCCGCCCCCAGCGCCGCCGACATCTACTACCGACAGGCGGCGGCCGCCGCCGCCGCCACCCTCCAGAAGCCCCTCCCTTACCGCCTCTACCCGCCCGGCATGGGCCTGGGCATCCCCGGGCCCAGCGCGCACCTCGGCTCGCTCGCCGCCAGCAGCTCGCTGAGCACGCTCTCCAGCTACTACTCCAGTCCCAGCGCGGAGGGCCCGTCCCCGCGCTCCCCCAGCCCCGACGCGCCGCTCGACCCCGGCTCGCCCGGATCCGGGGGGCGGCGGACGCCCTCCGAGGACGAGGACACCATCCACGTGTGAGGGCGGGGGACCACATTGTGATATAAAGTGTACTATAGCTATGGACCTGTTATTTATTTGCGCTTTTACGTGTCGTGTAGATTGTATAGACAGAGCTGGACGATTCTCTGGAGGGAGGAGTGACCGGGGGGTTCCAGGAGAGGATGTATGTGTACATGTACGGATTGCACTTTCGTTGTAATCGTTTTATTTTTGCTCGATGAGTATGTTTATTCATGTTATTATTAGAAAATATAGAATAAAGGATTTTAAGTTTTTATTACCAGAAGTTTCTTTTATTTAACCGGAAGAAAAAAAATATTCAGACACTGCAAGCAGCCGATGACGTCGTCACTGGATGACAAATAACCTTGGTGGAAATTGACACAAACAAGCACACTGCGTTTATGAGCAACGAAAGTGTAAAAAATCATGTTGCATGACTATCGAAACGTTTAAAGCTCCACTTATTACCATTAAAAAGTAAAACCTTGGCAAATTTACATTACACTTTTGATAAACGTGATGTAATAATTACACCCAAAATTATTACTTCCTCTAGCCGCTATAATTAAGTTATAATATTCTCGAAAATTATAAATATTTATTAGCAGCTTGCTTAACCACAATTACCTAAAAGAAATGCTCAATTTTACAATAATTAAACTCGTTACATCAAAGAATGCTATTCATTATAAGAATAGAGCGCTTCCTTATTCAAATTTGGGAGATTTATTAGCACGTAAGAGATACGGTAATTACAAGTGTTAGAAAGTAAACTTTCGTGACTTTTAAATAATTAAATATTAATTATACCGTAGTTTTTGTGTGAATGTCTTATTTATCTCTCGGCGCATCTTGCAGCTACACTCTGCATGAAATTCAAATTTCGTTATAAATAATTCGACCCGAAATGAAGATCCACATCAAAGTTATGATGCTAAGTTTGCAATTAAAATATTTATCAGTGTTTGTTTAATGCGCAGACGTCGACACAAACATTATCACATTATCAAGCTATCACTTTTAAGTCTGGATTTAGGATCTACGTCCTTCAAAGAAATGATGACGTCAGGTCACAATTTTGTTACCTAAATCCCACGTGGTTAGTAATTAGGTATGTTCACTAATAAGCAACCAATATTGCTCGGATTATTTCTTGGAATTGGTCAGTAGGAGATGCTGTTGCCAGGGGAGGGGGTGTAACAACTTGAAACCAGTTTTAATGAGGTCGCGAAAATGGAAGCATGTCGTCGGTTATTAATTGATTCAGTGGAGTTTAAATGGTTCTGAAATGGCTGAAAGTGGTTTCTTCGGTTCTGGGTGAACTGAGTGTGAGGTGGAGTTGAGGGTAGAACAGGGTGAGAGAAGTTCTGTTCGTGGTAAGTTTGTACTGCATTTTTTTTACACAGTTCCAGTTTTACGGATATTTTCAAACAATATTGTTTAATTCTCGGCTACGCCTCACGCTGTAAACTTTATGAAACGTATTTTTTCTTTTTTTTTTAGCTAACGTCAAAAATGTGGGAACAATTCTATGTTTTAAAATTAAACATAGGAATTAATTATGCAAAATGTAAGTTTCTGGAAAACTTACAATCGCCAGAATTCCTAAAATTTTTCTAACATTGTAAAATCTAGCAAGCTTTTTTAATCTTTAACTCTAGCTTTAGAATCCCAGGTGTTAAAAATCTGTACGTTTTCAAATTTTGTAAATAATTTAAAACTGTGACAACTTTCTAGAAACTCTAGAAGGAATTACAGGGATCTTGAAATCTCTGAATCCCTGGAAGAATCTTCAGCAATTTCCAAAATCTTCAAAATATTCAACATTTTCAGGATTTTCAGATTTTTCAGTCTTTAGAATGTCTAGAATTTCTGAAATTTTGTGATTGGTGAAATCGAACTTTGGAATTTTAGTCCCTCAAGCATTTCTAGAATTTCAAACATTACTAGAAAATCTGGGATCTTAAGAATACCAAATTTGTAGTTGAAACGTTTTCAGAATTTCAGAATCCTCAAATTCTTTAAGATTTTCAGGATCTACTAAATTTTTATGGTCTTAGAATGTCTAGAATAATCTTTATGATTTTGATTATTTAAAAGTTCTAAAATAGCTAAAACTTCAAAGTGCCTCTTTTGTACCTCGGGAATTTTAAGAATTTGTGCACTATTTTAGTATTTATGATCTTTATAACTCTAAAATATTTCAAATTTGAGAATGTCCAAAATCTGAAGGACATTTAGAATTTCAGAGGAATCTTAAAAATCACAGGTTTTCTGGATTCTTTCTGACAATTTGTATATTTCAAGAATCCCTAAAATCGCAGACATTGCTATAAGAATTCAAGGACTTTCTAGAATTTTTGAATCTGTAGAACCAACTCCTGAATTTTAGAACCTTCTTCTCGATCTCGTCAACTCTTCAAGATCTCCAGAATCTTCTAAATGTTTAGGGTCTTGGAATCTATAGACCTTCTAGAATGATTTTAAGATACGTTACTGGAATTTTTAGAATTTTTGGAACCTAGGTTATGATTTCTATGATCTGAATTTGTGGGACCTTGGTAGAAATCTCTGAAATAATTAGAACTAAAATTTTTCGTAACCCGGGAATTTTTTGCATTTTTGTACCATTTGTGATCTCCAGGTGTTAGAATAATTCAGATTTCAGAATGGTCAAAATCTTCTATGGTTGTAGATATTTCAGAGATGTCTAGAAAATTTTACATTTTAAAAATTACAGGAAAACTTCTTCAAGATATCTAACTTAAAAATCTGTATGTTTCAAAAATCTCCAAAACCTCAGAAATTTCTAGAAAATATAAGATTTCAAGGATTGCACGGGATTTCTGAGATCTTTGAAACTTTAAATTTTTCGCAGTCTTAGAATGTCTAGAATGATCTTACAAACACCTGGAATTTTTAGAATCTTTGGAATTTCTGGAAGCTAGGTCTTGATTTTTATGATCAGAATCTATGAGTTCTTAGTCTCTGAAATAATTAGAACGAAAATTTTTCCTACCTCGGAAATTTTCTGTACGATTTCTGGTCTATCTCTAAGGGTTTAAAATACTTCAAATTTCAGAATGTTCAATGTCTGAAGAATATTTAGAATTTCTATGGTCGCAGATAGATTCTCTACAATTTCAGAGATGTCTAGAAAATTTTAGGTCTTAAAAATCACAGGAATTCTGGAATCTTTCTACATGGAAAACATTTTTCAATATATCTACCTTAAAAAATTTTTATGTTTCAACAATCTCCAAAACCTGAGAAATTTCTAGAAAATATAAGAATTCAAGATTTCTGGGATCTTTTAAACTGTGTGAGCATCTCATTCTAGAATGATCTCTAGACATGTCTAGAATTTTTTGAATCTTTGGGATTTTTGGGAGCATATCTGTACGATTCGTCATATATATTTAAGGGTTTAGAATACTTCAAATTTCTTAAAATTTGAAGAATGCTGAAAGTCTAAAAAATATTCAGAATTTCTGTGTTCATAGATAGATTCTGTACAATTTCAGAGATGTCTAGAAAATTTTAGATTTTAAAAATCACAGGGATTCTGGAACCTTTCTGTATGTGAAAAGTTTTTCAAGACATCTACCTTAAAAATCTGTATGTTTCAAGAATCTCTAAATCTTCAGATTTCTAGAAAATATAAGAATTCAAGGAAGGATTGGATAGGGATTTCTGGGATCTATTTCTATAAGAATTCAAGGACTATAGGGGTTTCTAGAATTTTTGAATCTGTAGAACCAACTCCTGAATTTTAGAACCTTCTCGATCTCGTCAACTCTTCAAGATCTTCAGAATCTTCTAAATTTTTAGGGTCTTGGAATTTATAGACCTTCTAGAATGATTTGAAGACACGTTTATAAATACCTGGAATTTTTAGAATTTTTGGAAGCTAGGTTATAATTTCTATGATCTGAATCTGTGGGACCTTAGTAGAAATCTCTGAAATAATTAGAACTAAAATTTTTCGTAACCCGGGAATTTTTTACATTTCTGTACCAGAGCTAGAATAATTCAGGTTTCAGAATGGTCAAAGTCTGAAGAATAATTAGAATGCCTATGGTCGTAGATATTTCAGAGATGTCTAGAAAATTTTACATTTTAAAAATTACAGGAAAACTTCTTCAAGATATCTACCTTAAAAATCTTTATGTTTCACGAATCTCTAAAACCTCAGAAATTTCTAGAAAATATAAGATTTCAAGGATTGCACAGGGATTTCTGAGATCTTTGAAACTTTAAAACTTTCACAGTCTTAGAATGTCTACAATGATCTTACAAACGCCTGGAATTTTTAGAATCTTTGGAATTTCTGGAAGCTAGGTCTTGATTTTTATGATCTGAATCTATGTGATCTTAGTCTCTGATAATCAGAACGAAAATTTTTCCTACCTCGGTAATTTTTTGCATTTCTGTACGATTTGTGATCTATCTCTAAGGGTTTAGAATACCTACTTCAAATTTCAGAATGTTCAAATTCTGAAGAATATTCTTCAAGATATCTCCCATAAAAATCTTTTGTTTCAAGAATCTCCAAAGAGAAATTTCTAGAAAATATAAGAATTCAAGGGATTTTTGGGACCTTTGAAACTGTGTAAGCATCTTTTAAATCTTAGAACTTTTTTCTCGTCTTCATTGGCTCTTCAAGATCTTCAGAATCTTTAAAATTTTCACAGTCCTAGAATGTTTAGAAAGATCTCTAGGCACGCTTACAAACGCCTGGAATTTTTAGAATCTTTGGAATTTTTGAAAGCTAGATCTTGATTTTTATGATCTGAATCTACCTTAGTAGAAATTTCCGAAAAATAATTAGAGCCAAAATTTTTCATACCTCGGGAATTTTTATCATTTCTGTACTATTTGTAATCTCTAAGAGTTATTTAGAATTTCTGTGGTCATAGATAGATTCTCTACAATTATAAGAGATGTCTAGGAAATTTTAGATCTTAAAAATCACAGGGATTGTGGAATTTTTCTGCATGGGAAAAATTCTTCAAGATATCTACTACCTTAAAAATCTTTATGTTTCAAGAATCTCCGAAGAGAAATTTCTAGAAAATATAAGAATTCAAGGATTTCTGGGATCTTTGAAAATGCATCTTAGAACTTTCTTCTCATCTTCGTCAGCTTTTCAAGATCTTCAGAATCTTTAAAATTTTCACAGTTTTAGAATGTCTAGAAAGATCTTTAGGCACGCTCTCAAAAACGCCTGGAATTTTTAGAATCTTTGTAATTTTTGGAAACTAGGTCTTCATT